CCATGCTGGCACCCTGATCTCAGACGTCCAGCTTCTAGAACTGTGAAAAATACATGCCTGTTGTTTAAGCCACAAGGTCTATGGTATTTATTATATAATAGCAGCTTGAGCTAAGACAGTCATTTAATAAGACTTGATAGCAATGCAATCTAAACACATTATAATATAGAAATTTATTCAACTGATTTACTGAGTAGTCATATAACCATTATCACATCATGCTAAAATTCTATTTAGTATTGGACTCAAAACATCTAACACAAATGTCTGAAAAGAGCAAAAGGAAATGTGAGAGAGAAAACAGATTTACATTTCACATGGATTTTCTGTATAGGCAGAGGAGAGAGAGGGACATTGTCATTTTTTCCAAGTGGAGGCAGCCCTTGATCCAGCCTGTGTGTGATAGGAAGGCTGCTTGACAGCTAATTTTTTCAAAGAAAATCTCACTGACTAAATTTCTTTTTATAGGGAATTTCTGCATAAAATTCAATTCACCTTGAATTCTATGAAAAGAAAAATTTCTCAAGATATAGCAGATGGCACTTATGGTGAAGAGGGAGTTGCCACCGTCAATACGCCTTGACTACCTCTTGTCAGCTACTGGTCCCTCTTTCCAGACCACAGAGATGCCTGGGTAATGTAAGTCACAACATTCAAATGTTTGTTTGCATCCTTACTTATAAAATGAAGACATTGGATATTATGATATTAATTATAATAGTAACTAACACTTATTGAAAATTTAATTATTTCCTGGTGATGAATCTAAGTTAAGGATCACAATAGGAAAAACAAAAAATGTAACGACACGCACAGTATTGCTGGTGTAAGGCACTGTTCAAAGCAGTTTACGTATATTAACTTATTAATCTACCTAACAACCCTAGGAAACAGGCACTATTAGTAAACCTACTTTTATAGATAAAAGACGGGGGTCCAGAGAGTGAACTACTTTCCCAAGATCACAGCGTAGGTGGGGGAGTCCATGTGGTCTGGCTGGAGTGCGTGTGGCTCACACTCATCTAATCCTCACAACACCTCCATCTTAAAGATGAAGAAATCAGGTACAGAGAGATCACATACCTTGTCAAAAGTCACAGGGTAATACGTGGAGGTGCTAGCATTTGGGCAGAGGCATTCTGCTCTAAAGCCGATACTCTCAGCCGTGGTGTCTGCCACCTCTCCTGGGAATGCCTACTCCAAGCCCTGTTGGCCCACACTGCTGTGAGTCTCTTCCCACCCCAGTGCTGATCATATGTAGGAAGGCTCATACTTTGCCAATGTATATTAGTGTCCTATAATATGTTTTAGATGCAAAACATTACGTTCTTAAGTTTGGTAAGGTAAATCATCAATGTCAAAAGTTTGAAATTTTGTTAAGAAGATCTGTCCTCTGTAGCAAGGAAACAAATCAAGGAAACTGGATAGTTAGTCAAGATTTCTGCAGTGTTTTAGGGGTCACTTATGCATTTCTTTAGGTAAAATCCTTGATATAATGATGTTTGTAGCACATTTTAGAAAGTTTGAAACACCATATCATAGGAACTCCAGTTATGTTCCAAAACTCCTGAAGGCACCACAAAAGAAAAGAAAAAAAATAAAAGAAAAAAAGAAACTTCAGTATGGCCAGCTAATTGCATCTGTATGGTGTTAAACCAATAGCAGTTAATATTTTAGTGCAGTGAGCTCAATAGTACAATAATTGGAAAAAGCAAAATTAATAGCATTTGAACTCTTGTTAGCAGTTATTCTATTATGGTAGAAGAGAACAGAAAATGGAGACTTCAGGAACAAGTCTATGTGATGGTTTGTTCATTTTTTAGTTTCCTAGTGAAGTTACCTACAGGCCTGTTTCCCAGAACACTAACATGTTTCTTCAGATTGGCTACAAAAAGTGTTTGTAACCAAAATACAATCCTGTTCACATATGCAGGGGAGGTGCCCCTGCTGTGGCAAACCAAGCAGCTCTGACGTTCTGCTGAAGCAGACGCAGCAGAACCATGCTAAGAGACTGGCAACTACCGTTTGACCCCCACTTGCCTTCTGATGACATGTGTCTACCCTGCATAGACAGAATTAGCACACTGATTTTCTCAGCTTTAGCTTTCTCTAACATACAGCATTTCAACCCAAAGAGCTTTTTGGGATGCTATGTATTTCACTTCCATTCACACCCTCAGGATAAAGCCATCTGGAAGGTGTCCATTGTGCAGCATGCACGGCCCCTTTCCATAACTTACCTCTTCATCCTTCCTGGCTGTGCCCGACAGAGGTCTACATACATCCGTATCATTTTAAGCAGTTTAACACCAAGACAGAGACATTTCAGGGAGAAGTGACTCCAAAAGAGTGAGATCACCAATAAGCATGGGCAGTGAATCCAGGGAGTGCAAGGCTACCAATATGTGTGAACTTATTCATCATAATTATTACTTTTTCTAAGAAAGTGATTTCCTTAGTCAAACCTCCAGGGCATTACATCAAAGAGGCATACTGACACAGCTGGACTATATTTTCTAGCCAACTGGCTTCCAAAGGAGAATATAGACAGTGTCCTGGCAACTGTTTAACACAGCAACAATCCATGAAAAGAGAGGGAAAAGAATTCTTAGATGGAATTCTGAAAAAAGTCTCCCTTTACTTTTTTGCTCCTCCCTATTTTGGGAGGGATAATTTGAGAGTAATGTCAAAGCCCTAGGGGATGTCCTTGGTATTGACCCTGAGAATTCCAAACATTCTAGAGACAAAAGGAGGTTTTAGTTCAGAGTGTAAGTTTTTTTTCTACATGCCATGTATTTATAATGAATTATCATTAAAAAAATCTCAAACCTAGGCAAATGGCAGAGTATTTGATCAATTTTCTACTGCCAGTTTAATGTAAGTTACTATAAGCCTTACCAGGACACTGTAAAAATCACCTTAGATAGGCTAATAAAATCATAACTGGAGAAATTTAGTTATATGCCCTGGAAGTTCTCCCAAAATATATATAAAAAGAAATTATAAGAGTGACTATTAACACACAACAAAAAAGCCACAAAATCCAAACTGCACTAAGCCAGAAGCACAACAACACACACAAGAATCATGTGAAAATGAAAATACAGACGCACGCCAAGGATTTCATGAGTTATAGAGAAATGAGATGTGAGAGTGATTGTGTAAAAATAAAAATAAAAACAAAGATCATGTCTATAGTTAAGGAAAGGTGTTTCTCACCGTTCTGAACAAAATGGCTGAACTAAGAGCCTCTGACTGGCTATGCCCATATACCCTCCTCCTCGTCCTAGGGGGAGAGAGGTGACAGAGGGGCCATACCCAGAGCAGCATGGGAATGAAAAAGAGTTGGTTAGTATTTAAAACAAACACATAAACACAATGTAGTAGAAGAGAATTTCTTGACTCTTTTTATGTTAGTTTCTAATTTTCTAGACTATCAAAATTAGTAATTATAGTTGATCCTCTATATCCAAGCATTCCACACTGTGGATTCAAACAACCATGGATTGAAAATATTTGAGGAAAAAAACCAAAAAAATAACAAAGCATTTATACTGTATTAGGTATCATAAGTAATCTGGAAATGATTTAAGGTATAGAGGATGATGCACATAGGTTATATGTAAATGCTACACCATCTTATATGAAGGACTTGAGCATCTTTAGATTTTGGTATCTGCATGGGGCAGAAGTGTCCTAGAACCAGTCCCTCCCAGATATGGAGGAACAACTGTAGTTTGTCATTACATTTCTATTCCTCCTGCCTTTCCAAGATGCCATCACTATGTCAGGGATGAATCTAGACAAAATTATCAAGTTGGAAGCTTTTATGTTTTACCTTTTTCTCCACCTCTGTTTGCTTCCTCCTACCACAGGCATCCAATTCCCTTTATCTATTATCAAATCCTATTTCCAAGAATGGATCTAACATGCACCTAATAGACACTGGCATAAGTTTAATTCCAGGTATCAGGAAGTAAGTGGAGAAAGCAGGCAGACAACTCTCCATTTTGCCTACATTAAAGGTTGATACTTTTTTCCCTCTAAAATATTAGGCTTGCTCAACTGGCTTAGTAAATATCATCATACTAGGACTATACCTTCTGAATCTTAGAAATAATAGCAATCTGAATATCACTGCTGCTTTTATCTGTACTATTTCTGCTGCTGCTCCTCAGACAATGCCACCACTATTCTTTAGTGGAGATATTTAGTGGGGAAGTTTCCTTGACTTTTTAGTCATATGGATGTAATTACCTATTATTTTTTTTCCCTTAGCTATATATTTTAAGACTGGAGATGTTGAAATCTGATTTTTGGCAATGGGATATGAGGTAATCTGTTCACCACTCTCCCCATCCATCACTTTCAAGATCCTGGGAGAGTTTCTTTCTTCCAAAAAACTAGAATTCAATATGGTTCCCTTCAGACTCATCAATGTCTCTTTTGCATTGATGAGAAGTTGAAAGCAACACTTTTCCTTGAGAATGATATGCTGGAGGGATCTATAAGAAAAGGGGGTGAGGAAACTCAGTTTAAATCTTCCCTTTTAAGAGGTGATGAGCACAGGTTTAATAATTTGCAATTAAACAGAAGTAACCTTTAGACTGAGTTGTACCTCACTGAGCTGGCAAGAAAGGTTTATTTTCTAATGAGGCATTGTTGCTTTAAAAAAGAAAGGCCACATAGTTATAAATTAGCATGTATCTCTGAGAAGGTTAATTTCTTTTCTCAACCTAATTCAAGGATTCTTTATCATTCTCAAGTATTTTAAGTATTTGCTCTTAAAATATTCAGAATCATCAACTTCCTATACAGAAACTGAGTCTGTATTTTAAAAAAAAGGAATTAAGGTGTTTTCAGAAACTGACTTATTAATAGCTATTTAGTGTTCTTCTAACTTATATCCCAGAATTTGCAATATGCTTGTAAAAAATACATCAAAATATAAGTGTACTGTTTTGTTTGTTTTTTAATAAAACATTTAAGAACAGTCTTACCTGGTCCGGGGAGGGCTTATGATTTGTTTGATTGGAATGGGAAGATTTGAAGTGGTCATCCTCATAGTTGTCGGCCATTAGCTTCATTCGATTTTGTGTCTATGAAAAAGTTATTCATAAGGTTAAATTCAGATAACATTTCTCTGACACACTGCAAAGTAACAAGCACTTTAACAATTTCTTAGGAAAGGATAAAACTAATCCTGTCTGCAATAAGATAAATTAAACAAGATTTCTGAGGATACTGAAAAGAGTTTAAACACTGCTATAGACTGAATTGTGTCCCCTCCAAAATTCATATGTAGAAGCCCTAACCCCCAATGTCACTGTATCTGGAGATAGGGTATTTAGGAGGTAATTAAGGTTAAATGAGATCCTAAGAGTGGGGCCCTAATCTGGTGAGACTGTGGCTTTGTAAGACAAGGATGAGAGAGTGAGCTCTACTCCTCTGCTGTATGATAACCCAGCAAGAAGGTGGCCTCTGCAAGGCAGGATGAGAGCCCTCAGCAGGAGCTGAACTGGCCAGGACCCTGATCTTGGATTTCTCAGCCTCACAGTTCCCAGACTATGAGAAAGTTTAAGCCACCCAGTCTATGGCATTTGGTTATGCCTGTTCCAGCTAAGAAAGGCACATAAACTGATACAGGAATTTTAGGGGGACAGGCAATATGCCCCAACCAAGCACTTCATGCCGTGTTTATATTTTAAAATAAAGACTGGATTATATTACCATATAGGACTCTATAACTTTATTTTTTTACTTTATGATATATAGGACCCATCTTCCCATGTTATTATTATATGAGTCTACTGATCCTTTAAAACTATTCCATTATTTTGGATGTTATATAACATATAGAAAATAAATATTGGAAGAAAAAGTTATCATTACTTGTAAACAAAATGATTATAGATCTAGAAAATTCAAGAGAATCAATTGAAAAAATATGATAATTTATTATAGAGTTCAGTAAAGTGATTAGACACAAGCTACCTATATAATACACAGTAACTTGTCTTTGTATTATCAACAGACAATTTAGATTGTGAAAATAAGTAAAAGGTAAGATATACAACTATATGTATTCATAACAATTAAAAAATAAGAAAAGAAGTACAAGGTTCTGAAATCCTTGTCCTCAACCCTAAGCCAGAAGAGAGTTATTATCCCATTGCCTTTTCTCTATCTTTATTGAAAAGGAGGACTGGATTGGTATTTCTGTGTGGTTGGCTAATTTAAGCCCTGAATAAATGAATAATATATTGAACATTTTTTGAGAATTCACTCTGCAGAGTAAGCAATTCAGAAAATTAAGGGTACGAGTAGGCATAAAATCAAACAGCACACTAATAAAATATTGCACTAATGTTACACTAATAAAATATTATTAAAACCTGAAGTTTTAAAGCATTAAAAATAAACTTGCTCAAATTGTATGATTTTAAAATGTTCACTCTAGATAATCTGAAGGATAAGGTATATAAAAAAAAAGAAAAATCATCTGTAATCCCTGTTTTAGTAACAATCACTATTAATATTTAGGTGTATCCATTCAGCCCCCTCCCTGGGAACATAAAAAGTGCTACGCTGTTCTGATTAATTCTAGTTCTTCTCTACTTCAGTAACACTATGGTATTTTAAAAATTACTACAGCTTATAGTATATTTTCATATCCAGTAGGACATGCTGTCTTTTCTTTCCACCAATTTATCAAAATTTGATTGGTTATCTTTAGCACGTTTTCTTTTCTAGATGAATTTAAAACATTTTGTCTGGTTCCATAAAAAATTTACAAATGGGAGGCAGAGGTGGGAGGATCGCTTGAGGTCAGGAGTTCAAGACTAGTCTGTGCAAGACCAAGACCATGTCTCTAGAAAAAATTTAAAAAATTAGCTGGGCATGGTGCCATGCACCTGTAGTCCCAGCTACTCGGGAGGCTAAGGCAGGAGGATCCCTTGAACCCAAGGAGTTTGAGGTTGCAGTGAGCTACGATGATACCACTGCACTCCAGCCCGAGGCGACAGAGCAAGACTCTGTATGGGGGAGAAAGAGAGGGAGAAAAAAAAATTTACAGAGATATGCAATGATGCCTAAGAAAGGGCTTTAGAGCCAAACAGCCTGGGCCTAAATTCTAGCCCTGCCTCTCACTTGCTATCTAATTTTGGGCAAGATACTTAAATGTTCTGAGCCTCAGTTTCCTCACCTTTAAAATGGGGATAACAGTTTCTCCCCCATCAGGCTGCTGTGAGGATTAACTAGTTAATACAAGGAAGGCACTTAGAATAGTGCCTAGCATAAAATCAACATTCAATAAATTCTGGCTTTTTAGCTATCATTATTATCATCATAATAATGACCATTTTTTTTCATGTCATTTAATAGTATTTTAAAATCTTATTTTTATTTATTTATTTAGACAGAGTCTTGCTCTGTTGCGTAAGCTAGAGTGCTGTGGTATCAGCCTAGCTCACAGCAACCTCAAACTTCTGTGCTTAAGTGATCCTCCTGCCTCAGCCTCCTGAGCAGCTGGGACTACAGGCATGCACCACCACACCCGGCTAATTTTTTCTATTTTTAGTTGTCTGGTTAATTTCTTTCCTTTTTATTTTTTTAATTTTTATTAGAGACAGGGTCTCGCTCTTGCTCAGGCTGGTCTCGAACTCCTGACCTCAAGCGGTCCTCCCACTTCAGCCTCCCAGAGTGCTAGGATTATATGTGTGCGCCACCACACCCAGCCTAACATCTAATTTGAATTGGTTGCAAAGAGTTTGTAGGGCAGAGGAATTTGTAGGACAGAGGAAGGGCAGAGGAATTCTTCTACTTGTCGGGAATTCACTTGGGTGGGGCAATGAGCTAACGGCAAACCTTTGCTTCTGGTCATTGCTTGCTTGCTACACCGCTGTATGGGGAATTATGGGATGAGGTCATTGAAGCACGGGCAACTGGCCTATCAGGCAATAGAGGGCAACCAACCCACCAATTATTTCAAAAGGCAATAGTGGGCAACCAATCATTTTAAAGGTCAACGCATGATCCATGCGTAGTCGGCTTGTGCGCAGCTTGTGCACCCTGGGGATAAAAGACATGCCGTTGTTCCGGTCGGAGTCCTTGCCTGTGAGAGTGGCCACTGCGTTGGTGCTCTGGGGCTTGGACCCTGGCTAGCCAGAAAATAAACCTCCTCTTGTGTGATTGCATCCTCGATGTCTCTGCTTTTCTGTCCGGTGGGGCTGTGGAAGGTTGGTCCCTAACAAGCTCAACTGAACAGATGTTTACTGAGTCCTGTATTGCTGACCATTTATCTTCTTTACATTTTCACTCAATAATATACACACATTTTTGAGCCAGTTCTTTTCTCCAGTCCATAATGATAGCAAAGAAAACACTTACCAATAAATTATCCATGGCATCCAATTTTTCTTTTCTGGGATGAACCTCAGTGACCTTTGCTATGTTCTGAGTGTTTTTTTTTTTTTTTTCTTTTTTCCACCCCATCCCTCTGTTCTAAGTGTTTGTGTCCCATCAAAACTCCTATGTTGAAACCTAACTCCCAATGTGATGGTATTATGAGATAGGGCTTTTGGTAGATGATTAGGTCACGAGGGGCTCTCAAGAATGGTATTAATAGCCTTATAAAAGAGGCCTGAGGCCGGGCGCAGTGGCTCACGCCTGTAATCCTAGCACTCTGGGAGGCCAAGGCGGGAGATTGCTCAAGGTCAGGAGCTCAAAACTATAGCTCTACTATAAATAGAAAGAAATTAATTGGTCAACTAAAAATATAGAGAAAAAAAATTAGCCAGGCATGGTGGCATGTGCCTGTAGTCCCAGCTACTTGGGAGGCTGAGGCAGAAGGATTGCTCGAGCCCAGGAGTTTGAGGTTGTTGTGAGCTAGGCTAATGCCATGGCACTCTAGCCCAGGCAACAAAGAGACTCTGTCTCCCAAAAAAAAAAAAAAAAAAAAAGAGGCCTGAGGGAGTGTTGCCCTTCTGCCATGTAAGGATACAACAAGAAGGTGCCACCTATGAAGCTGACAGCAAGCCCTCACCAGACACTGAATCTGCTGGGACCTTGATCTTGGACTTACCAGTTTCCAGAACAGTGAGCAATAAATTTCTATTGTTTATAAATTACCCCATCTACGGTATTTTATTACAGCTGCCCAAATGGACTAAGACAATCTTGAAAATATGTAAGGTAATTTTTCTCATGTCCTGTGATATCGCATGACAAATAGAAGGGCTTCGGCAACACAGCTCTCAGGAGAGCGGGAAGCACAGAGGAAGAAACAGAGGCCTACGCAGAAAGTGAGGAAAACGTCTGATTCATGTCATATACTTGGTTAAGAAACCTTTCCATGTTGACTTTAATAGGAATGTGGGCAAAAGTATACTTGGCTTCTTTTCTTAGAACCTAAGACACTTAATTTAAATCTTTGATATCTAGTGTAAGTTAAAAAACTTAAAAAGAAATCCTAATAAAATACACACAAATCCATTTTCAAGGCAAAATATATTTCAAGTACTTCTTAGGAATGAGTGTGTATGCCTGCCTGAAGAACTGATCACACTGAACAGGTAAGACCAAAGGTTACTTATTGGATCCACATCAGAGAATGAAAAAATAGTTCTAAGAACTTACTTCTCTATTTCTAAAAGGCATGAAGATAATCAAAGTTTAGTGCTTCTAGGTCTAGTATTTGGAAACCTGGTGTGAAATCTGTTCCCCACATAGTCATAATGTTGAGCACTAAATGCCCGACAGCTCACAGAGCATTAGATGTTACACTGATAACATAAATGATGCTCTGCTCTTAAGGAGCTCTCCTACTATGCTCTTCTCAAGATAAGACCAAAAAGCAAAAGAAGTCCTTCACGTTTTACTGACATGAAAGGTACTTCATATCCAAATGTTTTCCTTCTTGAACCATGCCAGCTACATGTGCAGATAGCTGAAATCTCCTGGTCCCAATGACATAAATAATAAGATGACTTGAAGGAAGGAAGGAAAAAGAAAGGAAAGGAAGGAAGGAGGAAGAAACTTGCTGAAATAAACTTTGTTAGCTATCAATGCATATGTATGAATTCGGGTATACACACCCTTC